CTAGCCTAGTGCTATTATGCACCCAGAGCTCTTTTAGTGAAATCCAGAGGGCCCATAATGCTTTCTTAAGAAGGAATGCACAAATAAAATTCTGTATATTGGGTTTGATACCCTAGGCTCTTAAAGTAGATCCCAATGTTGATCGAGCAATGTTATGCATTTTACCTTTTAAGCTGAAACGTCCACAAACCCTCTTTATCTGGCAGGCATAGGATTTTTTTTAAAAAGCCCAAGAAAAACACGCCACTCGTTAGCATCCTGAAAGTAGTCCATGTTACCTTTGGGGACAGAAAAATGTTGCAGAACAGTCATGAATCTTGCCGTCTCCATCTTCCCTTTGAATCAACATAATTGCAAACTTACACACACACACACACACCACTTGTGAGGTCAGTCCTAAGTGACCCAAAGCCCTTGCCTTTCTTCTAGGGTGAGGCGGGATCAGGCTGCCCTGAGGAACTCTTGGGAGGAGACGGAGCCAAGGGATTCCTCCAGCAATGACGTCTTTAGCGAAGAGAAAGCACCTCCAAAAGTTTGTGTTCCAAGTGAGGCGGATGGTGGCTTGAAGGCAGGAGAAAATCATGAGCAGGGTGGCCAAAAACCAGAACGTGGGGCAAAGGCCGAACCGCCGATCTCAGCTCAGAGCCTGGCCAGAGGAAGGAGAGAGCCCCCTTTGCCAAGTTCCCCTTCGGCGAACGCACAAACCAGGTCCGGTCGGGTTTCAGCTTCCCTCCCGAGAAGTTACCAGAAGACCGACACAGCCAGGTTGACGTCGGTGGTCACCCCGAGGCCGTTTGGGGCCCCTCTGAGAGGAATTTCATCGCTTCCCAGATCCTTTACGGTAAAAACTGGCTTGTGTCTGAGACTTGGTGGAGCAACTGTTGCTAATTTTACACTTCAGCTCCTTTTCTAAGTGCAGTCACTTATTTAAAATATAAAGAATAATATGTAATATGTTTGTGTGTATATAGACACACAAACCCCTTATGGAGATTTCCAACTGAAGTAATAATAAAACTATTCACTTAAAAGGAATAAAAGGGTGACATTTCACTCTGGATTTGTAACTGTGCGTCTACCATTTGTGTATCATCACATCATACTCAGTGTTTGAAATCTATTCATTTATTTGTAAAATGTATCCACCCCCTCAATTCCAAGGGGCCTACATAGGTTTGTGTACTAAGTCCTTGCAACCTGGTCTTTCATGGTTTCATCCGGATTAGGGGGATCTGACTTAACAGCACACAACAATAACTCTGTCTTAAAGCTGCTGATAATTAGCAAGGTGCTTCGGGCCTGGGAAAAACTGGGGAAGGTTTTAAGTAGGTGCTGCTCAAACCAATGTTGGAAATGTCTCTCTTGTGTCTCTAAAAAATGTCTCTAAAAACCTCCCCCAGATGGATGCAGCTGTGAAATACAATGGAGGAGTCGAAGGGTCCAGGAGGGCTCAGTCGGGGATCAGCAGGGGCCCACAGGCTCAGGCAGGAGGGGGGCAAAGCCAAGGCCAGATGGAGCCCAGAGGTCCAGAAGACAGCAAAAGTAGGACAAGCCACTTGCTTGGGGAGCACCGAAGGGGAGTGCCTGAGTTGGATCCTGAGTGGGATCATCACGCCAGTCCCGACTCAGTGACCGTCGCATCTTCCACCCCCAAAGAGAGAACCCTTTCAGGGACCGAGGAGTCAAGATGGCAGGTAAGTTGGAGAGATGCTCCTGTTCGTGTTATGCTGTCCCCCCAATGCACAGGAAGCTCTACACCGCGAAGAGGGAGAAAAGAATTAGGCACTGCTTATTAGCTAGCGAAGATGGTGGATAACTTCCTTAGAGAAGGGAATCTTGAGGTGGTCAGCCTTGTGAATAAAGGGGAAGTTCTTCTCATAAGTCACAATTGTGACTGAATGGTTGGACTTGAAGCAGTTTTCTAGGGCTCGGTAGTTCATGAGACCTTCTCTAGAGAGGTCAGGACAGGGACAGAGAGGGCCAGAGCTTACGAAGAACTGTTTGAAGGGACCAGAAGTTGCTTAACCCAGTGGTTAATCCTTCAGGAAATGCCTTCTTAGCTGCAGTGCTCTGCTGAGATTCAGTCCAGGAAGACCTCGGCTTCTGTCTCTTCAGGACGGCTTTATTTGATGGCCATCTCTCATTTTAGTGTTCTGACTGATTTCTAGAACTGCAAACCAGTAGGAAGGTTTTTAAATCACTTAAGATGGCAGGAGAGACAGAACGTAAGTACACAAATGCCCCTGCTGGGCCTGAAACAAATTAAAAAGATGTAGCTAAGGTAATGTGGATGAATGACAGCTGAAATTCTGAATGCAGGGGATGTAAAGAAATCAGGGGAAATAGCTTGTCCACAAGCCAGTAAGTCAAGTGCTATTGCATCTACAGATATCTATGCACTTAATGACTAACAAACCTCCTGGTTAAGAAATGTCAGACCCTAGAAACTGATCCAGTGACATTTTTTCCCCCAAACAGTTTTAATTGCAAGCCTCCCCTCTTTCTGAAAGCTTTTTACAACCACCTAAATTGCCAGTCACTGTAAATTTAAGTGAAAAAATACTTCTTAAATATATTAAATTGTAGGCTACAACAGTCTCTTTTTAAAAGAAAAAACTTTCTGTAAGGATGCTAATTTTCAGTTATTCTTCCTGCATTCCCCAGTAGTCAGCTCCAAAAACTTGAAAAAAAGTTAAATATATGGACTATGACATATTAGCTGCAGGAAGAAGAATGATTCAAAAAATGTCTGTTTTTCCTGTACAAAAATCCTATGCAGGAATGGTGAATTTTCTGAGTTTTTCTGTATTAAAGCTGTTACTGTACCTGGATCAGAACTTGAGACCCAGGAGTGCATAGCATCACGTGCCCACCTGCCAGCAATCAGGAGTCTCCCTGACTGCTTTTCATTAAAGTTTGCAATCCCAGCTGAGATTGGTCATCTCAGTCAGAAAGGCATGTTTCTCCAAACTGGTGATAGTGGCATTTTCTATTCCTCCTGAAATGGAAGGAGAAAAGAAATGAAAATATCCCTGTTTAAAATGGTATTTTCTAGTAATGAAATTATCCTTGCTAATAATTTCCTCAGCACGTTAACTTTTAGTTGGAGTTGTTCTTCTAATGAGACTCCTAAGCAAGGCCCAGGTCATTAATATAGTTGCTTACCGGAATGCATAAATTGGGAATATAAATTTAATTATCAAATAACCCTTGCATTTTAGATGTGCAGATACTTTCAGCTACACAGTACATAATTTAAAAGCCAACATTGCAATGAGCTTTGCTTGTTTAAGGGATAGACTTTCATTCATGTTGGTCTCTCCCTCCTCCTCCTCCTCCTCCTTCCTTTTTTTAGGAGCAATACAGTGATATGAGGATCAGTATAAACCAGAAACCAGGCAGTAGCCGTAGCTTTGGATTTGCCACATACCAGAATCCTTCTGGTGTCTTCGTAAAATCAATAGAAGAAGGTAAATACCAGTATTTAACTCTTGCACATTCTTTGGGAAAGTTACTGTAATAGGAAGGAAGGAAGGAAGGAAGGAAGGAAGGAAGGAAGGAAGGAAGGAAGGAAGG